GTCATTCAAATACGTTGGAGGAGGGAAAAAACAGTCTTCATGGGCCACTATACTTTGTTATCCACCGCATGTGGATCTCGTAAAGATCCATACTAAAATCTTTGCACTTCCTCGACTTTCTGGGCTCCTTTCCCACAGACCAATACCAGGCTTGTTGGTTGACTTACGGCCTCTTCAAGCTTCTCAGCACGAATTTTGATGCGTCCGCTGAGCTCAGCTTTCTCTTGGTCACATTGAGCTCGGAAATCACGCGCCAGACGATCCTGGTAACTGTGCATCTGTTCACGTAGTTGGCGCATCCGTTCATTCAATTTGCCACGATCTTGTGCGAGTTTCTCCTCCAACTCCTCCTACAACAACGAAGCAACGATTGATCGATGTCAGTCCCAAAGGCGCATCTGTCAGAAGTGGGTAAACGAAGGGTGACACCTTTTGTGCCCCAGAACCGAGCAGATACAACCACACGGTATCAGGTGACCATGAGTTGATTTTTGGACTCTGAAGTCGAGAACACGCTGGACTGACAGCCCCCCTACCAGACAGTTTGGAGTGTCAATGAACTCCGCGGCTGATGGAGAGTTAAAGGGATGAAATAGACACTAACAGCATTTCCATCTCACCCACAAGTTGAGTCAAAATGGATGATGATGATGACGAATGAATTGGATTTCACTACTCCAATCCACCAAGACAAGAGTGTTGCATTACTTAACGCAACACCAATGCAAATAAATAATAACCATCCAATAATAAAGTGCACTCTTCCAAATTCCACCTGCCTCTATGAATGATGTGGCCTGCAATTTCACACTATGGCGCAACGAGTCAGGCCGTGAACTTTTAGCCCATGTCCTGACGCATATTTTGAGCAGAAACGAAGAGACAGAGAGGGAGAGATTTAAAGTAGAGAACTGGAGAAGCGATACGCCCTCTGGCTAGTGGGCAGCCAGTGTCCTGACATTGACACCTGTGTGAAAGAAGGACCGACAAGAGGCATTCAATTTAGTCCAGACGAGACAAAATGACACACCTGAAGAGGCGGATAAACAACTACCCACCTCTCGACATTTCAAAGTCTACTTAACAAGGGGCAGCTAGACAATGGAAAACAATGCTTGTGTGTTAAATGAGTGAAGATGGCCAGCCGATTGGATGGAATTGATGGAGGGGCGAGACAATGAT